CTTTAATGATCACTGAGGCACATCCCAAGGCATCCCTATCACTCTATTTGGGGAATATAGATTCCTACTTTTCAATGTATGAACCGGCTACAGAGATTAGCACTCGCTCAAGCGGGTTTCAAAGGAAGTACTCCAATGATTGGTACTCACCATCAGCTCATTTCTCTCTCCCTCCTTTTTTTCGAGATTTTTCCCAGTCACTAACCGAAAATGTACTTATTTTCTTTTTTTTCAATTTTTTAGTTTGACAACCATCGAAGATTCCCATCGTTCTCTAACGGCGTCGAAAAAATGGATTGATCGACAAGTTCTAAAAAGATTTCTGTCCCTTCCATCAATTTTAATGAATTGATCGATATATCAATTCGCAAGTTTTCCAAGAATTGTTTTCTCCCCTTATATGGCATGGCTTTACCCATACAGACCGATCCCCTATCATCCTTATTTACATCGTACAAAACAGGGGCACAAATCAATATTCTAGGCTCTGGGGCTAGAATGTCAATATTTCTACAGTACCCTGTCCCTATGGATCGATAATTCTACTCATTCTATTCGTGATGGTGTGTGTGTGAGCGTGTGTTTGAAGTGGTGGGTGAGAGTTGCAAACAGAACGCGACAGTGCGCATCGGCTATTAGACTTGAGCGAAGCGGCTAGATTAGCTGCGATCTGAAGAAGGTCCCATAAGAGAACGGTCCCCAGATAGTTTCAGCAAATCGAAGAACAATATTGATCGGGCTCAGCTGTTTGTTACCACCGAAATTGGTCCATTGAGATTTCGGCAATTTTTCAGCTAAGGAGTTTTCTATGATCAAAATTCACTCATTCAATTGATCGATCCTTTACGCTTCAGGACTGATCAACTACCCGGATCAATTGGGAGCACAGTAAAACCACTAGATGCCCGGAAAGGCTAAATTTTTCGATGGTCCCAATTCAACCATGTTATTGAACGGAAGTGGAAATGTAGCAGATAAACGCCAATCCAGATTGCGGTAATCTAAGCGGAATCGTGTAACAATTCAGCACCACTAGAACCCTTCGCTATCACATTAGATTTGCTCCATACCATTTGAAAAAAGGCCCTGAGCTGCCTACACAACTGTAATAATTCGTGCTGCAGAAAAATCTGTAAAGAAACAAATCAGTCGTTTTGCTTCGGATTCCAAATCCCTATAAATGGAACTCGTAATGGAAATTCTGTACGTTCAGTGGTGATAAGATCGACTATCAATTATCTGTAAATTACCAAAGTACGGCTACTGTCGTTTATTTTTGATAGTTTACCTATTTCAAGAAGTGACTTCTCTACAGAGATCAGCAATTCCACCACCTCCCGTACCGGATGATTGTGTCATTCACTCCTGCAAAGTTCCCTTGTAAACCAGTCTTTCGTGGAATTTCATCTTGAAAATAGGCGCTAGCACCCTCAGCAAGGTCCCTATCTCGGTACTGTCTTGCAATTTACAACCAGGCATGTTTAGATCGCAAATGCTGCTGAAAAAAATTCTGATTGATTGGACAGGTTCTAACATACATTATATCCATGAGAACATAAGAATACTGTAGGTATTAAAGAGATTTATGTGATCGGTAGAAAGATGGAGGATCAAGCCTCTGGCGTTGAACAATCCCGTTTTTTGGGGGTGCGTCACCGCGTTCAATTCAGAATCGTAGGGGCATTTTGAACCCGTTTGTAAACCTTACAATGTTTCATCATAGGCAGCCGATGCTCAATTAAGTGCTATTATTCACAAACCTGGAAGCATAACTCAGCTGGCTCTGTATCTGACTCCATCTCTGATTCATGAGTGTGAGAGTGCGCTACTTGGTCCTGCACCACCTTCACATATGTCACCAATATTTTTCATTACTTTCATCTCCCTCTCCGTTAGTGTCGAAAATTCTACGCTGTAAAAGCGGGCGACCTTACTCTGTTTTTCGCTTGCAAATGTGGGTCAAAATAAAGAGCTGGATACGCCATGCACTTCCCAACGCAGAAACAATGGTGATTCAACTCTCAAACAACAAGCGCCTAGTTTACAAACCTCATAATCATGTGACCTGCATATGTCTTATTTGCATGGACAGTGAATATAGTTTCTGCCTATATTTTCCCAGTGATTGTTGTTGTGGGGAAGCGAAATGGTGGACACCGTAAAAACTCTGAGATTCTGAGCGATCTCGATCGAGGACAACCCCCATCCCTGCAACCCTCCTTCTAGGCGGTGTCGTTCACCTCCTAACAGTTCTTCTCATGTCTCTGATGATGTTTCCCCCGTGGGAAACCGGTTTCGTCATTAGGGCGCTAGGTCTAGCGATCAAACGGAAAAGTCGACGACAATCTATCTGTATTATTCGGGATTCCGCTCAGTCATTGATACACGAGGAGCGGTAGTGTCAAGCGTCGTGTGCCGTCCATATGCATTCTACTTCAGACTTCTATGAAGCATTCCATTCCATACCATTTCCTGCTCGTCCACACATCTTTTTGCTTTCGCGATGAAGCGTGCACCTTGGAGGACCGATCGGAAGTTTAAATCGACTTTTCGAAGACTGGTAAGCGCACAAACCAGTAGGTGCAGGATTCCGTATTCATCTGGAATTCCTTAGTTATGCTTACTCGTACAACATTTCCATCATTTATTCGTTACTGAATAATAGGTAGTGTTGTTCATTGCCTGGCCTTTCATTATAAATCAGCCAGAGAAGACCGTTTTGCAGTTTGTTACTCACGGTCCTTAAATGAAATAATTATTTCAATGACTTCGTTTCCTGGCGGAGGGCTCATTGCTCATCCCTGGGGGCTATTGACGCGGATATTTATCCAAGAACTACCCAGTTACAGCTAATGCCTAAGCATAGACCTGGCTCGAGTCCGTATTAAGGGGATTCACAGTATCTCAATGATGAAATTATACAAAAATGTCTGTTTTTTCAAAAAGCGCTGAATTTCTATCGTTCTATCGTCTATCGTTTGCACTTGGCACTTGAATCTCCGGCTATCATCCAGTAGCGTACCAAGTAGCTACTCGCCAGTGCGGAAAAGTTAGCGTGAATCACCCGAACCGGTGAAATATTAAAAGTCTCCCATTCTGTTTCGTTGGGAGTGCTCGGTGAACAACTGTGTGTGCCAGGGCCATGTATTCTCAATCAAAGGTTTAGTCAAAGAACTTTCATGATGATCCCAAACACTATCGAATCGTCATCGAACCGGAACTCATCTGACCGGTTGTGTTCCCAATACCTTCCAACTTTCAGCCATTAACATTACAGTAACCCATTTATTCTTTACTAACAGCATTTTCTTACTCTAAGGATCGTGTCCGTACCCATTTGTGTGATTTTGCATGCCATTGCTCCCCAATGAGCACGACGTGTCCCATGTTTCGTGTAATGTGTCCTCGTAATTCGTCTCAGTGTCGCTTTTAGTTGCACTACGTGTTAGCTGTTGCTGGTCGTAATGCTGGTGAAGATGCGGAGCCGATCTCTGCTCGATCGTTGTCCAGAGCCAGTAGCCGTCGGTCTATACCGGAATTTATCTATCCGGATACCATCCAACAACGTGTGACCGATGAAGACTGTCCCGTCTGCCAGATCATGCTGCCCAAGGGACGAAGCGGTTGTGTGCGTGTTGTCGTTGTTATTCGTCTTTAGCAATGTTCTGTTCATGAATGTCAAAGAAGATGCGCATGGACTGGAAGTGACTCCATTCCATTCGTATCTTTCTAAGCTTTTGTATGGCGCCTTATTCGTGTAGTAGTACTTCGTGCTGCCTTAGCCGTTGCTTATCGCTTCCATGACCTGGGGTCGTCCATATATTTGCATTTGTTCGCCCTGCAGTTTTAAATCCAAATGTCGAGGTCTCCATTTGCAGGTGTCCCGGTTGGTGATTCTCCATGAAGAAGCCGAAGATGGAAATGCGATGCCTGATCTCACACGCCNTAGCAATGTTCTGTTCATGAATGTCAAAGAAGATGCGCATGGACTGGAAGTGACTCCATTCCATTCGTATCTTTCTAAGCTTTTGAATGGCGCCATATTCGTGTAGCAGTACTTCACGCTGCCCTAGCTGCTGCTTATCGCTTCCATGACCAGGGGCCGTCCATATAGTTGCATTTGTTTGCCCTGCAGTGTTCAATCCAAATGTTGAGGTCTCCATTTGCAGGTGTCCCGGTTGGTGATTCTCCATGAAGAAGCCGAAGATGGAAATGCGATGCCTGATCTCACACGCCCAGTCGGGGCTGTGTCAAGGGCGGTCGACAATCTCATTAAGGTACGTCTTCTTTAATGTACTTCTAATTAGCTGTTGTAATTTCGTTCCTAATCATCTCTTTTTTGATTGGAGTTGCTAAAGACCTGTCTTCAAAGTCGCCCGTGGGCGTTATGATCCATCACTATCGCTTTGAAGTTTTTATTAGTCTGTAAATGAAAGGCTCCGGTGTACGGGTTTTTGAGAGGAGGGTAATCGACCAGCCAGCGGACAGTTGTAATCGGTAACTGTGCTACTCATCCAGGCTGGAAAGAACGATGCAAAGTTGGTTCTGAAGGCTATTTGACAGTGTTTTTCTGCTCCCCTCTCTAAAAGAGAAGGTTCGTGTTTGTGCAAGTTGTCCGCCTCTTCACGTTCCTTTCTTGTTCGGAAGTCCCCTGATGGGATCCGCTTCTCGGAGGAGTTAAAACGGTAGTCACGCCAAGCCGCAAGACTTCTATTAGTCTTCTAATGGGTAAGCCTAAGAAAGTGAAGAAGTTTTCCGTTGGATGGGAAAAGTATCCCCTATTTGGAGTTACTGTTTGCATCGTAATATAATGATGGCCCCACTCCAGAAGGACGTCTATCTCCAAGATCCCCAACAGGCCGGAAATAGCCGTCGTACTGGCTGAATTTAAAGGCGTAGAAAGGGGTAACGCCGGGGATATGTCGGCAGTTGGTGTCTTTTGCGGAAACGGAACGTACTAGAAATGTGCTAGTCGTCCGGTTCCGGTCATTGCTACAATGAAGGAATGTGTCATCGTTATGCATTCGCAAGTTTCAATTACATTTGTTTGCTCGCAAGCCGCAAGCCAACAGTCGGCCCTTTATGCTCGTATTTGCCCAAACCGACGATTCTTACCAATTAGAACGGGCCTGATGCGTAGAGATGACCCACTACAACTGCTTCCAACGTTGATACTCTGGAAACTCCGGAAAACATGGCGCCAATCGAAGTACAGAGAAGTTGAAAACGAGGCATTTCCTTCACGAATGCTTCACTCGAGAATTGCCTGGCTCCTCATTACACCCTGTCAAAATGGTCTCGGAGAGCAAGGATGGCCGCAGATCCCCTCCATCCCTGAAAGGAACTATCAGCAACAGCTGAATTTGGAAACCGTATGTGCATTCTTATGAATGATTTCAGTCTAGGGCTTAACTAGGTACTAAAAAAAAGATTTTTTTTTGTCCAAAAGTGATACCATGCTGTGACCCGCAGCCATTGCTGATCATGAGTTCGAGAACAGTTCGAACTTCCCTGTATGGAGCAGTTTATGAGAAAGGAAACATCATGGAGGCCCTTCCTGTAGCAGAACCGGAGGATTCGGTATTGTAGAGGGGCTCGCTTACTGTTCAGCAAAGAACTGCTGTTGTTCAGACTAACGACTCCTCTGCAAGCTGCTGGAGTTAGCGGCTCATATTTCTGTACTGAACTTGATCCGGCAGTGTAATCTCGCTGCAGGTGGAACAACACTCCATTGAACCTTTCTTACTTGACAATCTACTCACTTGTTAGAAAAAAAAAACACTTGTAGGAGGAGTTCTTTTTACGCTGAGTAGTATTCCCACCTTTCAATGTGTTCGCTTGTTGGCGTCTGGTCGGTTGGGCTGGATTCCGCTGACCGAAATCTTTCTGAATGGTTCTCTTTAAGTATACAGGTTTCTTGTTCTAGTTGAATGGTCTCAGAAGGAGAGATGAACTGGCTGGCATTGATTTTAGGTCCGGAAATTTAGATCCACCCTGCTGTACGTGTGCTAACTGGCTTAATAAACTGCTTCTCCACCTCCACTCCTACTAAGAACCAAATCGAGACAGCTGCTTAAACCCTAGGCTGTGAAGGGTTACCAAAGTCTTCCATTACAGTAGTAGATAGGAGCTTCCCAAAAAAATCTGTTTGTTGCTATCCAGTAAGCAGTTGGCACCTGGCTGCAGGTGATCCGCTGCGGTGGCGACAGGAGGCGGTCGACGTGGGTGCAGTGATGCGTCGCTTGGGCGGAAATGTCAGTTGTGGGGTGGGGCTCGCCCCCACACGCTGCATGCCACCTGTCGCTCAGTGTTTTCTATAGTGATCTGAAGCTATCAAGCAAATATACAGCTGTGGAGATCCTAAATCCCGCGCCGATAGGCAGGCAAGGGTGAAAGCGTTCTTCGCAGTACTGCATGGCCTGAAAAAAAGAAAGGGTGGGAGCATGAGGGTATGTTTGTCAAGCCAGCACCAATCGACTCCATCTAGGGTGTAATGATCCTCAATGACCCCTCCTACGAATACTGTCCGCATCAGTGGCACTATTCGGATTCTCCGGAACATCTCACTCATCTTGCCTTCATTGGAGATTATGACTGAGCCCTTTTTCTTTTATAAAAAACCTTTATTGGTGTTTGGAACTTTAGAAATTATGGCATTCATTTCCTCAACTGAGCCTTGGAATCGAACTAATCTGCTGATACGAGTCGTCGAGTCTTTCTAGGTATTATCAGTGCTAGATCCACTCTTTCTTGGTGGCTGTCCCATTTTCTCTCTTGGTTGTCTAGCTAGAGGCATTTCCGCTGCCCGTTGCAGTCGGCGCAAAGTTCCATATGTTGCCGACGAGGTGACCGAACCGGAAGCTGTATTCTGACTGGCGCCATTCTCCGTATATTTGCGCGCTTGCAAAACGTTGGGGAGTAGTAAACGCGAGACTATCCGAACCGTAATGCCCTCAGTCAACAGGCCTGACTGGACCGGTGGTGACTAGGGCGGTTAGTGCATCGACGGCCACCAACACCCGGTTGGCGGCTGCCAGGTCTATGCAACATCACCAAGAATTTCGCCAAGAAACTTATTCAAGCCGTCGTTATCTCCACCGTTCATACTCGTATCAGGTGAGCACCAGTACTGATTCTTTTACAAGTTCAGGTCGGCTACGATACGTGCCATTCGTCCGATGACCAGATTCTCCAACAGGACATGCCGCCGGCGTTGCAGAGAGTCGAAACCAGCTCTCGACTTCTCGAAGACGCTTGTCATATGCTCAAGGTTTCAGCAACTGGATGCAGATTGGAGAGATTACCGTATAACTAAAAATTCCTTGTTCCAGGGCGATCCGTTTTCGGTGCCGGCCCGGAAAAAGCTCATCGACGGCGCACGAGGTATTCTACAAGGAACCAGCGCGCTGCTGCTTTGCTTCGATGAGTCAGAGGTTAGTGAGTCAAACTTCCGAAGGTACTTGCTTCCTTTTACGGATCAGGAGCCACATGATTCATTTGTGTGGGCGGAAATTTGTCAGTAAAAAGCTCAGCTGTTATTGAGGTCTGCGACACCTATTTTCGAACAAAAAAAAAACATTTGAAAAATCACCTACCCAAGCCCTGCCACAACTCAAAGAAGTTAGGAAAGTAGCTGGGGCATTGTTCAAAGTTGTGCTGTTCAGGTTCGCAAAATCGTTCGTGGATGCCGAAAGGTGCTCGATTACCTAGCCGTAGCCGAGGTCATCGAAAGTATTGACGATTTGGCTCAATTCGTAAAGGTTGAAAATCAACTCCTTTCCTTTTTACATCCATTCTTTTCAATATGTTTAATTTAAAAGTCTGTAAAGCTTTCCGGCAAACAACATTCTGCTGAGCCACAGTCAGCTATCGGTCGATGTGATAGATAGCCGAC